GAAATGCACACTTAGTCCAAGTTCGGAAAGTGAAAATAGGCAATTCGGAGCAAAGATCAGGGTTCATCCTGTTTACCTACATGTCAGAAGGGGTTTTATTATGGGCTAAACAGACAGACTTCCCCTCCAAAAAAGTTACGCACTTCCTCGCTGGTATGTCACGGGCGATTCCTTCCTGTGCACAAACACCACATCACGGCAGGCCAATCACTCCAGCCTCCAGTCGCACGATTGTTTTTTTTTACTAGGCAGAGCCAGCAATCAGCAATGAGAACCCCTCTGCACTGGGTGGGACATCAGGAGCTGTTAGATTGCTTTCCCATGCTTGTTGTTGACGTGACAATCTTTCTTTGCTGGTTTTTTTTTTTTTTTGCTTTGGCCTACGGCATCACTAGTCGCTTCAGCAGGGGGTGAGAAAAAGGGTACGGAAACAGTCGGGTGCGTAGTGGGGATGCCAGGCAGATCATGGTCAGATGACCCTTGCCAAAGTGCAACCGGTGTTCGAAACTGGCTCACAGCACAGAGCTGTGCTACTTTGCCTTGTGAATTCAAAAACAGCGGAGGGTTTTGAGGGATGAGAGAGGGCTTTCTTGAAAATGTTTTCACTGGCACTTAATATACCAGTAAGATTACTAATCGAATGGATGTGACTGACGCTGAAGACCAAATTGCACAATGTCAAGTACTGATGCTAAATTGTATGATGCCATTAAAGATTGGTTTAAAAAATTGACACATTAGAACAGCCATGTACATATACCTCCACCATCAACAAAAAGCAGTTTTCCAGGTCACTCCACTGACATGTGAAGGTTAATAAATCCTGGACTCTACTATGGTACATGTACCTCTATATAGAGTTGATATTGAGCAGAGTGAATACAGATGGAGTGATAGGAAGCAGTCATAAATCCCACCTGAAAGATTAGATTCACTGCAGGCTAGACTGGGACTGACCTGCCTGCCTGTTCCACAATGTCCACTCAATCAAGGGTTCTGAGCAGGGGCAACTCGGGTGCACAGTTTTCAAGTGAGGCAGCTGCGATGAATTCAGGCATTTCCTTGAGATCCTGGCCAAACTGACCATTCCCTTCCAGTGCATGCTGGTGTTGAGGAAGGTGATTAATAGTCAAACTGTGCCTGGCTGCCCCAAGCCTGGTATTGAAGGTAACTACTAGTACATGTTCCTACTATCTCTAAATACATAGCACAGTTGACAATTTCCAACACGGGAAAAAAATAAATAAATAAAAAAGGAGCGTCACATAATCTGACACCTCAGTGAATGTGTAACCATGTCAAGTTTTGATACAGATTCAAAACATGTGTTGCTAACTTGCAAAATGTATTTTGTCCCCCTCCCCTTATTTATAAAACGTGCATGATTAATTAACCCCGACTACCTAGGATACAAGGCAACCATCCACATCCTTACAAATCTCATGGTAAACTGTGCACAATGCACATAAACACTTGAACTCTGTTTATTTGTGGTACGGGTAATCCCACATAAAACACAGCCAGTACACCAGTGCAGTACTCGTCCTAACAGATCCCAACAAACTCTTTCGTTGGAATTTGGCTGGTGTTAGGATCATTGGGGTCAAGTAAGAGTGGAAAAACATGTGGACTTCTCATAATAAAGTGCTTTTTAAAGAGCATGCAATGTACCAGTTTCCTTGATTTCTCTGATCTCCTTCATAACCACATGGCATGTTCCGTGCCTAATAAGTCACCCTGAGAAATTCACATGCATGATGGTGAAAATCTCAAGCAATACACCAATCAGTGACTGTCTCCAAATTTGGCATGTTATCTGTAATGCTGATGCACCACTTGCCCCCAAGATGCGCCCCAAGTGAGCCGTATGATGGGCATACCAGAATGTCTAATCTGTCATGTGATACAGCAAATAATGGCCTTGCTTCCCATCAGTTTGGCACACCAAGTCAAGAAATTTCGCTGAAACTGGACCCGCCGTGTGTACTCCTGTATGCATTACATGGCAGCCCGTGTAAACCACCCCTGGCAATGTTTTACGCTGCCAATTCCCCCCCCCCCAAAAAAAAAAAAATAGGCAAAGAAAGACAAGAATAGGGGGAGGGCAATGTGTGCATTGTTCAGCTGAGCTTTGTGAGCGTGTGACTTTTTAAGCCAATGAGTAAGTGCTGGTCGGTGGTGTCTTGGCAAGATTGAGATGAGATGTGTTGGGCAAGACTGCATCTGCTAGCTAAGGAACTGATTTCTCACAATCATTTAGCTACATGTATTTTCTTTGTTTGCATTTATTTCCTTTAGGTTTCTCTCGCTGCTTATTTTGTCAATAGCAAGTGGCACATCATCACTGCATGCTCAAATATGCATTCAAAGCTTACTTCATTATTCAAGCTTATATTCAATTTCAAAGCTTATTTCATTGGTATTGTCAAATTACTGGTCCTGGCATTGCATTCCAAACCTTTCATCCTGCTTAAATATGGTAACTGCATATATTTGACGAACAAAAAACCCTTGCGATTGATGCATGTTTGATTAATTGCCGGCAAATAATGTACAATGTAATTAACCAGAGTCCCCCGCACCATGGACAACAAAACTAGCAGAGATTCAGGCATTTATTTCCCTTCTAGTAACCACATCCAAATGGGTTTTTTTTGTTGGGCTGGCTGTAATGCACGCTCGCTGACACCATCACGGCCCGGCCTCTCCGCCCAGCAGGGTGAGATCAGGCCAAATCTTACACCTCGTGCAATTCTGCGGAGCTCGGGAAATGAGTGTTGAGTTTGGAGGGCATCGCAGACTGAGGAGGAAATGCCACACAAGCTTGGTGGCACGCTATAGTGCTGTGTACACCACAGGCATTATTGCCCTACAGCCTGGCATGTGTGAACTACGCACGCAACCCTAGAACAGGTCAGATCCACACACTGATCACTCTCCAGTTTGTTATCATTATGCGGTGGTAATGCCTGCATACTGAAGGCAGGGCGAAAACCACACAATGCTCGTTCACCAGCACACACAAAAAGTCTACTCAACAGCAAAAGGGGCAGCACAACCTCACAGACTTACCACGGCAAACAAGCCATCATTATGAGGGAGGGTTGGTGTACAATGAACGAGTCCCTGAACAAGTAAAGAATTACTGTGGACTGTGAAATCCATGGGATTTTATTATCATCTGAACAGCGCAATAGAAGATAGTCACTGGTAGATTTACATAATTATGTACATGGCATCCACGATGGCCATGGAAATCAGGAACAGAAGCGAATGTTCCTTTCTTTTCTCTCTCTCTCTCTCTAAATCCGAGTGCCTATTTCAAAGTCAAACCAAAGTCTCACTGGAAAATGTACAGCACATGTGGGGCCTACATGTGCACTGTATGAGCTACAAGCAGATGGAACACTAGAGGGGCCTTAATCATTTCACCAAACTTAAATGCCGTCTAGTAAACTAAATCAACTGCACCTCTTCAGCTTTGAACATGAATTTCATAGAATCTCTGTTCTCAAGTCAAATGAAAACAATACTTCAATAGGTTAAAACATTGAAACTGTATCAAAAATAACGGTACATACCCGTTCAAATTTTGTCATTTCTCCTGTAATAAACAGTCAATCACGACTGAGCAACACAACTTTTAGCCCTCTTTTTTTTCTTTCCAATTCAAAAACTACTGTCTGGAAACTTCATCGATAGGATATGAGCTTGTAGACGTGTTCTGTTTCTAATTATCTTAGTGAATGCACTGCTGATTCAAGTTGGCCATGATTGTCCCACGACAAATTAAAGTCGCCCATGATGCCCCCTCCCCCCTTTGGGATTCCAGAGAAGTCTAAAATAACGTTCAAACTGAGGGTTTTCTATGTATGTATCAATCATTAAGACGGATCATGATTGAGCCCAACATCCGGTATGACTGACACACAGTCAATGCATGGGCCATGGATTACGATAAGCGTTTCAGTTCTAACCTACAAACTAAAACTAGAGAACAAACTGAGGCCAGTACTACAGCTGTTAGGATACTGAACTGCTTTAACGAGAAAATCGGTAACCGGACTGGGGCACACAAATTTCAGGGAAGTGAGACCATTTCCTGTCCACATTTCAACCTGGCCGGAGTGATAAACAAAAGCCAACTTGTATCATGCCCACTGGCCAGTAACAGGAAGTCAGCAGGACAGGGCTTTCCTAGGGGAAAAAATGCCCATGAACTGCCCCGTTTTTTACACTATATGGCGAACAGCTTGACAAACTAATCTTAGTCCACTTGCATGATAATGTACCCATGATTGGGCTCTGCCAGAAATATTCTAACAGAAAAAAAAGGTTTGGGGGCAACAAGGAGCCGGTAGTGATATTAACAGATGTGGTATGGCGACAGTGGAGCTGTATACTCGAGTGAAAAATAAACAGTTCAGCCCGCGGGTATAACCCAGCATAATGGAAACAAATAGCAAAGGCTGTACACTCCGGTAAAAATATAATGTAGGGCTGCTTCACCGCAGCAGCGCCGGGCCGACAGAGCGAATCGATGCCGCACAATACACCGGTCAGATATGCGGCTGGCTGGTCACGCGGCGTAGAAAAATTTACACGACGCCATTACGCTCTCTGTTTCCTCTTCACGCCTCCCAGATCCTTCCTAATAAAATGTGTTTTATACCTCAACGGCATCACGAATAAGACTAGCTGTACGTCTACTAGCGGTCAGGTTAAAAACAAGATTGGGCGCGGCGGCAAAGGCCAACTCACAGGCAAAGCCGTACAGCGGTGTTAGTTTACGGCCGCGGCTGACAAAATGAAAAGATGGGGGATCGCTCGTTGAATCGCCCGTACCGCACCGCGTTCACGGCGCGCTATGCCAGCCATGGTACAGTGTACACAGTGCTTGTGTACACATGCGTGTCGGTCAATGGGAATCGATACGGTTGTAAAAAAAACACATGAAAATCCCTCATTTTAAAACAATGTGCACGATCATTTTTTCTTACCAACTTGAAGGACATGATCCACTGCGTTGTTGTCCAGTAGTCTGACTCCTCGCTGGAAAGGCAACTTTTGATATTCGCTTTCACTGACCGTGGAATGGTGAAGCGATGAGTACATACAAATATCCTTCTCATTACGTGGAAATGACCAGAACACAATCCGCATTTGCACGGGCTCCGGAATGCGCGAAAATCTCTCCTCTACCTGCTGAAAGGGAATATTAAGTGCCACAACTTTGGCACTGATGTCCAGAAGGGATTCCGGATGATGTTTATGTCCATTTTCCCGGTGTCTTGTACTGTTTGGATGGCTAAAACGGTGGCATTTTTCGGGAGAAAGACCCGCACAGTGTCTCTTGGCCGCCGCCATTTGGGAAATTGAACTTTGCGGAAATCCCTGTGCGCATGTCTTCCGTACTTTAAACAGACACTGCGCAGGCGCAGATCAATTAAGCTCATTAGCATATATAAATAACAAACGCCGCCGCTGCGGTTTTTCCTTAGATGTCACCGCGGTCGTGTGCACACCTCACACTTTCTGTTGACAATTGGACGTTTTGTGAAGGGTATCTTTGTGGGATCGGGGCTACGCAAAAGACCCAAAGTCGCGACAATCGGCAAATTATTGAAGGAGTAACTTTGGTTCCTTGTTAGTTCGTGATCTTTTCAATATCGACCGCCCAGCAGGCACGCAGAGTCTAGTGGATGTGTGGCTTTATCATGAGTGACTGTTTATTGCTGCTGGTAGGATGAGGGCGGATATGAATGCTCTTGCTCGCGGTTTGGCAAAGGGTTTTAAGTCTTGGACAAAGCGGAAAGATCTCGGCATTGCTCATCCAGGATAAAAAGTAATAGGGGGTTCGATTAGAATGTGAGAACACGTATGGGTGGTTTGGCAGCGGTGCATGAGGAATGAACCGTATACAGCTGCGAGCGCAGCTTCTGGGACTCGTCATCGAATTCTATTCGGCGCAATTATACGGCTGCTTCAGTCGGTGCATGAACAGTACGGCCAAAAGAACTCGCGTCATATTGTCGCTCAGTTTTATTTGTTTGTAGATGGCTGTAGAATATAGTCTGCGTGCAACCCTTTAGGGCATCTCGAACTCTCTCGGATAAAAAGAACAGGGAAAATAAAATGCAAGGTCCCAAGTGTGTAGATGTCAGCAGTGTGCGTCGAGGCAAACCCCGTAGTGCCCCTTCTTCCACTGTTCGCCAGGCTGAGCATGTCCATGCTTTCTTGGTTTGTGGTGTTAATGTTTACCGTGAGCGATGTTTTTGATATTGTTAATGAACTAATCACCAATTGCTTTCAAACTGCAATCATCAGAACTTTTGTTTCTTTTCTATTCAAGTTCTACTTGAACACAAAATGTTCAACGGATACACTATTTCATAATATCGGGTGTTTACTATTTACCTTTTATTTACTACTATTAGTTTAATTAAACACTGTCTGCCGCAAGGTCATTCGAAGTTAAAGTATTAGTTGGATCTTGACATATGATCAATCCCAATCTATCTTAGAATTTCCTGACCCAGCCTGCATTCATCCGAAATTTAGGCAACATTAATGGGATGTTGTTCGAGCCGATCCCTTATTTTCTCCTGTCAACCACAATACGCACGCCCTCAAGAGTGAAATGATAACAGCATACCAGCATCGGTTAGGAGGATGTGGGAGGGATGGGAATTCTTTTGTGTGTCGATTTACAATGTACTGTACAACAAGCGCTCCTATTATATACAGCCGACATGTATAATGTCGGTAAAAGGCCAGACGAGTGTCTGAAAACAGGTCCAAATTTGGAGCCACGGAGATAAATGCCTAAAGCTGGAAAAATATCGAGCTCAAATTTCAGAGGAAATGCATTAAATACATTAATTAGATACTCGGGGTCGTAAGTGCAGAAAGCTATATAGATCTTATTTAATTTTTTTCTGTATCCGTATCTACATGTATGCGTAATATCCGAAATAAAAGAGCGGCAGTCCAATTTGCATACCAAAGAGATAAGATGAATTATTTTATCGACGTCAGATTTCATGGACCAATGACTCGCGATTTTGTCATGCCCACGGACTTGTTTGATTAAGAGGGCGCCGCCAAGGCGACTACCCCGCAGGGTGGGATATAGGCACTTATGCGCCGCGGTAAAATAATGCCGGGTCACTTAGCCAAGCAGAACTGCGGGAGAGGTCTTTTTATTTGCATGCCGTCGCTGGACTGTTAATAAATCGATGCATTATTTGACATAGAATTTGATTATTAAAATCTTCATGATTGACCGATGGCGGGTGACCAATTACATTGAAGTCTTTGTTCGGACACTTGGCTGGCTCTATTTTACGCGATGTTTCTTGTCTATGTGCGTGTTTTCCCCTCTCTGCCTTTTCCGATTTATTTTCTTTTCCCTTTCTCTCTCTTTTTTAACAATTGATCACAGAAATTCCCTTAGAAACTACTACTTTCGTGCCTGAACATTACGCTGAGCTTTGTTTAAGCACAGACCAGGATACGCTTAAAGTTTGCTGTGCTTTGCATGATACCCCTAATACGAAATACAACTTTAAGCTATATAGTATTTATAAAGTATGTGGAGCTAGATTCTGCATTTTATTTTGAGCTTCTACCTATTCGATAGGGAAACAATGGCACATAATTGCATCCTCTGACATTCATGACCAAGGTCTTGGGCATAATACTGGTAAATTATTTTCAGTCTAACATGTTTTGAGATGACCTATTCACGCTGTCGATGGAGTTTGGGGAATTGAAACAACGCACCCAAAGAAGCAGGAAGTCGAGCCCCCAAATAAAAAAATGTCTATTTATTACTGTCTTGAAGGATTACAATAGAAATATGTAAGGTCGTACACTGACATCAACGCTGTCCAGTTTCACTCCCGTTTCGGAACGTTCCCTCTTGATGACTTTTAGTCCTCATGAGCTTGTTAAACCCCACTTTCTTTCTCATTCAATTTCGCCAAAAATGTCACGAAATAACAGTCCTGCTCCCTCCAACCCCTTGAGACACATACAAGTAGGTTTACATAAACTAGTGCGAGGAATTCCGTGTCTGTAGTTGTTAAACTATCAACAAGAAGCTGTCGATTTGTGCCAAATACAGAAATGCTTCAGGACATTGTTCTATAGCTATTTGCCCTGACGGTTAAAAAGGAAATTGCCGGTCTCTTAGAAATGTCAAATAAAGAGGAATTTGGGGACACAAGTTCTGAAATAAACCAAGAAGATTGTTAGTGATTCTAATGACTCAAAAACTCTCCAGAAAAAAGGCCTTACAAAATTCTGCAAGACACTGATACCTCTGTCCCTATTGTTTTCTTTTGGGACCTACTCTTCTGTTCTGACGTACTGTGATATAGCTTTTGGCACACATTCTGCAGTTCAGGGGGGTTGCCCTATAATCTGCAAGTCCAAAATGTAGCTTCTTTAAAACATTTCTCTCTGCAGCTTCTGTCATAAATGGCCCTGTCTCATTAGATTAAAATACTAAATTGGCCTATTCCGTGTCGGCCTCTAGTTGAGAACCCTGCATTCAAGGTGAAAGGTGGACACAAAACAGGGTACCTGCATGTCTTCTCTTTCCCCTTTTGGGATGGATTTAAAATTTGTATGTTAATGATTGATGAAAGGGGCTATAGTCTTCAACTCTCTCCCTTTTCTACTATTCGCAACACCCCCCCACCTTTCTAAAGTTGTCGGCTCAATGCATGAATTATAGGTGATTTACCAATCCTAACTCGCAGAAGTAGGGCACTTCAACACTGATGACTGTGAACACAATCGGCAAGCTGCACAAATCACAGTGTATGCTACACACTGAATGAAATTCACAACAAAGTACACGTACTGTCAAAATGGCATTTATTTACAAATGATTTGCCCTTCAGAAAACTCGTAAGCAATGGATAAATTCAGAGTGTATCCAGGTAAAGTTATCAACTTGCCAAATCTGATGCGAATGCTTCTCAGAGTGGGGAAAACAAAAAAAACATGAAAAACCCTGCAGAACATTAAATACTGGGTTGTATTTTGAGATCCATCATGCGACAAGTAGAAGAACGAAAAATGGCAATCTTAGACAGTTTCAAATTTGTGGAAGGGCTTCTCGTTTAATGAGGGACTCTTGTTCTGACAGTTGCACAAAGAGACTCTGAATACTTCGAGAAGACAAAGAACTGAAGTCACCAAAGATATAACTTGATCATGATTCACTGAAAGACTTCATCAGATAACCATGGAAGTTAGGGGCAGAGAGGAGTGAAGCTTCCTAACTGTGGGCTTGATGGCAACAAAGACAAATGCTCTCTTTGCTCCGGATAACCATCTTCCTCCAATTCAGACAAAAGTCACCCATGCGAACGTCCTGTCGTGCGACCTGTCTACTGTGGGTAGGGGCAACTCTTCTCTAGTTCTTGACGTGGCCGGTTTGCACAGAGTAGCAGGTGCCGGTAAGATGACCAAGACTTTGCTAGTGTCTCGGATCTCACTGGACAAGACGATATGAGATGTATCTTCCAGCAGTCTCGCTGGGCCTGATGATTTTCACGACCTGAGGGCCGACAAGGACAAGATTTCAGCAGATCCTGTGAATTACAGGCACTTTAACCATATGCTGCCAGGGAACCCGGTTTTGGGTACCTTGGGTTTGTATGCACAGCCGGGGTGCCCGAAATCGGACGAAAGAGCAGGGCCTTGTAACAAAAGACCATACTCAGAACAAAAGACAGAGCTGCTGGGAATTTCCAACATTTTTTCAGTTGTCAACAGCGGAGGAAATCCGTCATTGTTTTGAAAGGTTATACCACTGTCTGTGGCATTCAGCATGAGTGGATTACCAATGGGGACAAAAGCACTCCAGTGCTCCAGGGAAGAGCGATGAAATCTGGTCCCTATTGAAAAGATAACAGCAGCGCACTGCGCCAGTTTCAGAAACAAAAAAAAAAAATTGAATAACACCACACAATCTGGGCTCTTTTTACAAGGCGGCAGGCCTGGTTGAAATACTCTGGCATCAATAGATGTTGTCTGTCAGATTAGAGTAGCCACCAGACAGTCACTCGATGGGGTTTAGGCATTCAGGAAAAAAAGATAAGAAGTTTTGAAGATATTTGAAAACCAAAGATGTTGAAAAATCGCCCATCTGTAGGCATGACATTCTTAAAAGCACCCGGCAGCAAGTGGTTAATAGTGTACATGAATTGTTAATGCTTAGGGTGATGTGATGCTCAACATACATGTGCAAAAACTTTGCTTAAAAAACAAAGGTTACCAGCTCAAACTCTATCTGATGTCATGCTAACCAAAAGACAGCAAAATACAATCCCAAAGCAATATACATCACATGGAGTTTTGGCTGGCTACCTGATTTATTAAGCAATTTTTTTTGTGCGCTTAAGCAAATTTTGTGCTTAAGCAGCTCTATGAAATTGGCCCCAGTTATATTTGTACACTATTTGGTTCTATTCTTACCTGTCCACGCTTAAGTCCAAAATATCTAGCTACGGGGTCTCCTTGTTGAATTCTGGGTAACTGGTGCTCTTTCAGCTTGCTGAGGTCAAAGGTTAAGGATGACTGTGCTACCACTGAGTACCATCGTTTTTTTTCAGAACTCCACATACTCAAGAAAGAGATATATCTACGGTGCTAGCACAAATCTATCTAGTTTACTTGCTACCTCCAACATGAAAAGCTTCAAATCTCAGATGGCAGCTAAGTAAATCTGGTCGTGCCATAGGTACCACAGGATGTGGAGCAATAAATTTCAGCGATTCTTGGGCACAGATTTTTGTCTTTGAGGCATTCCCCACTCAAAAAAGGAGAATGTTAAACGAGAGACTATTTCTCTTATCAATACTACAAAGGGATGTTTAAATTCAAAATTGAAATAAATATCCGACAAACTCTTTGCACTGGCTACCATCGCTGGAGCAGTTTTAGTTTCCCCAATTCAGTGACAACGATGTGACATCAGATGCAAGATCACTATACCCTCATTGCCTAAAACAACTTCTACTAAACTTGCTTGTCGCTGACGCCAAGGAGGGCATCATGGATGCACAACTGTGGGCTTCGCACGCAATGGTCAAAGGATACTATCTTGCCAGTAATTCCGCCTTCTCTTCTGTTGTCATGACAACATGCTCAGGCACAAACTGTGCCAAGGGAAAAGTAAAACAATCACCGACTAGCAATGTTGCTACTTGCCAATGTACTTGTAAGCAACCGAAACCACCAATTTCGAATAGTGCTGGATGTACTGGTCTCTGACTAAACTTTCTAATGCTAATCATGAACAGCCATATTCAACAGCTGTGGGGATCACAGGTTTTCAAAACAATTTGAAGCTACCCCGATTTTTAAAAAATTTTTGTGCAAAGAACAGTGCTGACGCACCACATTTTCTCGGTGGACCTATGTGGCAGTTGTTCCGATGACAAGCACTGTTTAAACAGATAATTTACAAGTCAGGGGACATACTGGGTCACTTATTTTGCTTCACCACAAAATACTGGACCATCATAGTTTGAAACAATATTTGATGTGATAACTGGCCTCCATGAAAATGACCCAGAACGTTTTGGATGAAATTACATTTTAAATTGTTTGGTTTGTTGATTTTGATATGTGAATCAATAAACTTTTTAATGAAGACTTAGCATGATAAGGAATGAAAACATGCTGAAAAAAATATACAATAGAAACAAAACCAGAGGCTCTCAATGAGCTCAGACACAGTCCTTGGAGATGGAATCGCAGGTCTATTGACACGATCTGTCACTAGTAACAAGGGGACAACAAAAATACCAATGTTTTCCGTTTCAACTGCATGTTTGTCTTCGAGCTGTGTTCAGACCTGATGCCCCGTGACCAAAATTACAATGGATTCAATAACAACACCGAGGACTCTTTTATGAAGGCAGCCGGGGTAAGCCTCGACTCACCTCGTGTTCTGTAATGTTGATGAGCAGTTCAGCTTCCAGGAATTGCTCCAGGACGTACTTGCACTGTGCCATGTCACTCAGGGACTGTTTGGCAGACGGCGTCATTCCCTGCTGGACGACGATGATGGCCCGACTGATGTTCTCGTCCTGCATCCTCTGGCAGTACCTGGAGGGATTGGAAAAAAAAGAAGAAAAAAGCAAATGTTTTCACGTCGGCACTAACTCCTTCATGAACAAGTTGTCTGATGCTGTGTTCCCACAGTTTTACAGTGGCACATAAGTAGTTCCACATTGGGCTGAAATCCCGGGGAGAAACAAATTGTACCTGCACAGATTGCAAACTCTTTGGCTGCAAAGGGGTGAATTTGGCTTTAGTTTTACCATTTAAACAGTCTAATTCTTACCACTACTAACACTTGTAGGACTTTTGACGTGGGTATGTCACTGAGACAACGCTTAAAATAACCAAGGCGGCAAGTCAGATCTTTGGGCCATCCAATATGTACATCCTAGTTCACCTTGACCGTAACCTTACAGAGTACATGTACTTTGGCTAGAAACCCTGCCTGACACATCAGTCTGTGTCATTTGTCAAAGTGGCTTGCCTGCCCAGTGTAACAAGATCCAAAAGGTCAACTCTCCTCAAGGCCAAATAGCCTGCCAGTCTGTGCTTGCTGGTCACCACAAGATCCAACAGTGGCATTGTTCAATGGGACTAACTCCCACTGTCTCATCATGGCCAGTTTGTCGGGCTGCTGTTGCAACACTGCACCAGACTTTCACACCTGTTGCACTATGCTGCGTCTGGTAGGGTTAAACATGCGCCCTCATGGACACTGTGTGCAGTGTGACCTCCAAGCTGTTGGTGAATGTCAAGCTTTCTCCAACTGCTCAACCACCTCGGACTGTCTGCGCTGGACTTTTCACCTTCAGCAAGGTGACCTGGTCAGTTTTAGTGAGCAAAGGTTGCCCAGAAAAAGTGAACACTGGACTCAGGAAAAGAAATGTTTCTGAGGCCACGGAGCTTATAAAATTGGGAAGAATAATCACAGTCAATTTTTGAGTCATTCAAGATTACGGCTTTTCTTTCTTCAAACAAAACTTCCCAATATTCCTCCCACTTACATTTAGTAAGTCAATCGAAATATCCATATAAGCTTATCCAAAGAAATAAAGCCCTGAACAACAGTACAGAATGTCAGCCTCAGGGTTTGTGTCTGGAAATGGCTCTATTTTGAGAACTGGCCGAGAGAACCTCACGGCAGACAACAGAGACTCTGGAGATAGACAGACAAGCTCGCTAAACTGCGGCCCAACTTACGCCTTGATGGTCTTGATGCCAACTTTGGGCTCCTCAGGGAAGAAGACGAACATCTGGTCTGTCGGGTCATCGTTGTGGGCGACGAGAATCGTCAGGTCCTTTCTTCCGGGTCTGTCTTCGCTGTAAACAGACACAGCAGGGAGGAAAAGTACAGTCAGCTTTGATTAAAAGACAATCTAAATTGTGATACTGGAACTTGACGGTTTCATTCATTACTTGCTTCACTTTGTTAGTATTACAGTGTTATATTAAATTGACTCTACCTTTTGTCCTCCCTCTAACCTATGAAATTTAAAACTGTCTTAGTAGAAAATATTCCATTCCAGACTCAAAAGGCATTCTTGTTTGAAACCTTCCCAAATCCTTTAAAATTCGTCACTGTGGAGGAAACCAATGCCGACGGAAGGAGACTGACTTTATTTAAATTTTAGGATGCATCAACCCCTGTGGGATGCTGTACTAGCAGGGCTCATCGTCTCAAATAGTTCAAACTCCTCTAAACTCTCTGATGGATTTTCAAGGATCCGGGAGGGTTGGGGCTGAGGTTTACTCTTGGCAGTCTGGTGAAATGACGAAAAAAACATAGCGAATCAGCACCTTGGTTTATCTCCAAATTGATCTTTGAATTGTTCCAGCGTCTGATCCAACTCATCTTGAGTCACCAGGTAGCCTCGGTCATGACACAACTGCAAACAAAAACAAGATGCCAGCACAAGAAGTCAACAAATTCAGAAGGGCAGTAATCTGTATGAATGCACTGCTTAGACTGACGACATGTTAACAGCTAAAGTAGGGTCCAATGTATCTGGGTTTTTTTTAAGTGTGGATACGGCGAAACTGTATTTTAACAACGTCCTTGGGACTTCACAAATGACCTTGTTGTAACAAACACCTTGCATTGTCAGTGATAGAAAAAAAGCAAAACAAATACTCGGGACGTAAAACTGTCCTTGTTATAAACATGACTTTGCATCATTGGTGGTCTTTTTATCTGTGTTGGAGTTCAACTTCAAGTCATCGGGTCCAGAGCTGTAACCAATTACACCACAGTCGAATCACAGGTACTGCATGCCGATGACTGTTTCCTGAGCAGTCCAATGTTCGGTAGCTGTGCCCACAGTAAGTTGTACAACGGATGTTGCGCCACTCAGGAAACAGTTGTTGACTGGTCGACTGGTAGAAAGGCATCGTGGGAAGGAAAAAGGGGCAATGTTTGCTCCTTTTTCCTTCCCACAATGCCTTTCTACCATTGTGCAACATTTCCTCCCCACAATGCCTTTCGACCATTGTGCAAAATCACCCATGCAGTATTTGCGATAAGGCTTATGGGACATCGTGGACATCCGGGAGTTTCACAAAATTATGGGTAGCAACTACACCCTGCCAGTGAAAACAACTGCAATGACCATGCATGTATGTACTGATCAAAGAAAAGATGGTCCTAACCCGATCCTCAGACTGGCTGGTACATGCGTACGTTGCCATGGTCGCTGTTTTCACAGGGGCAGTAGGCCTACCAGTCATTTTGCGAGAATCCCTGCATGTCAGGATGTCCGCACTGCCCCATAGAGTCCAAGTTACTCGGATTATGTTGCACTACCATGACCAGACCAACACCATCATCACGATCATGATTGTGAATGATTAGATGATGGGCATAGTGGAACCATGGAGGTAGGAAAAGGCTAGAGACCTGCAGAAACATGATAAATGAAGGGGCTGTTCATTTTGGATCTCATTTTCCAAACAGGAAACTGTGATTAAAGTCCAACTTTCCAAGATCACTTAAGTTTAAGTTCCACATGTTCAAAAACAAAACAAAAAACAGGGCCTACTTGAAAAATATTAGGCCTGGGCCTACTTTTACTTCGGGGACCTAGGCTCCCAATAATAAACAATGACTACCTGCATAAGAGTCTTTCTGATTCGCCAAAGTTTGTATGTTTCTTCCTCGTCATTCATGTTGGTACGTGAGTATATCTGTGAATTTTAAAACTAGTAAAAGCATGAAAGGTTCAGATCTGAGACTTGCACAACCAGTACGGGCCTGTGGCACATACGCGACAGGCACGTTCAGTTCACGTTTAGCATGGCCCTTTTCCAATACTCGACTTGGGCTCCGTCTGAGGCTTCGTTCCCAAAACCAATCCCCGATTGTGGGCCTGAAGCGTTTAAATTCAATTTGATTACTGTAATTTCTGACTCTCTTGCATCTTATTTGATGTTTTGTGGCACTATTAACCTAATTACTGCGCCTACATCTTCAATGTTAGCTAGTTAAAAACAGTTGAAGCCTGAGACGGAGCCAAAGCTGAGTATTGGAAAACGGCCTAGCCTCATCCACTGCGTTATATATAGTGCACTAGTATCTCAACGATCTTAACGTACTTAACACAAAATAAAGCAACAGCACCAGACTTTCATTTTTCCCGAGATGGTCTACAAATAAAATTGTCTCCCGCCCCAGAATGTCATCCTGTTAAGTTTGACATGATTTTATAAATAATTTTACGCTTTTCAAATAAACTTCTAAAAAATTATCAACCAGATTTTTAAAATGCAATGATATGAATGGTCTCAAACTTATTTCATCTTGGACCAAAGAAGACAAGGGCAATATTCTTTCAAATTGTCTTGCCGGATATAATAACGCGATAAACATCAATCGAGGGCGCTAAACAGAGTTACCAATCAACAGTTGACCGAATAAGTTTGTAATAAAAGTAGAGTCGTAGTACTACTAGTAGTAGTACAGTATAAGGAAACGTTGAAGGAAGTCGGAGTACTTTTTGAGTGTGAGTTGGTTAAAAAATAAGAAAGAGAAATGATACAATTGCCATACAACTTTGAAGTAGTAAATGTCAAAGTGCATTGCTGTATGACTGTACTGTTTTCGATTGATTATGATGGTTTTGATACTAGAGTTCATTCATGACACTTGTGCCCGGCCTTGCCTAGTCTTTGGCCCCCGATGATTGTTAGGGTAGTACTAGGCCTCTAATTATATTTATGACACCAAACTTAACCAAGACTAAGGCCAGTAAAAACTTTGATTTGGTTGACGACCCCCCTTGTTGGACCATGGAATAAGACTTTTGTCTAACAAAGCTGTCAAATATAAAGTAAAACTGGGCCCAGCATTTTGGCTAAAGCAGCGTCCTTCAAAATTATTTTCACTTTGCCTTAGAGAAAGATTGTGCTAGGGGTAGTCTTGGCACCTCAGGCCCTGCAACTGTTTTTAAATTGATAGTTTAGGTCACAGTCAGTGGACCTAGCCAGCAAACGGTTTGTAGCAGTTTTTGCAGGTGCATTTTACATGTATGATGTAACTCAAGTCTCACTCAAGTCACAGCCATCACCATCATGAAATGGTACTTGAACTTGTTAGCACTTTAGGACTTCTCTTCAGACTTTTTTTTTGCTTGCTCATTCGGATAGCATTCCAACTTTCCTCAGCGTTGCAAGCAGTCATTTTTGTTATTGGTACCAGAGTTTGTTGAACTAAATCCTGCACTAAAATGAAAGAAAGCACCACTTTTGCCCCCTTGTTTTGCACTTCAAGATGCTTGAAAGTGAATATGGTCCTAAGAGTAAAGAATGCAGATTGAATGTTCACATCAGACTGAGAATTTGCATCCAGCAAGTATATTTCAAACGTAAAAACAATTTACCATCCGTCTGATCAGATTAATTACAAGTACAGGTGATGTGGTATCCCGTTTTTGAGGAGGGTGACCTTTGACACACTATGTTGGTGTTGTAAAGAAAGAAAGACAAGGATGTGGAAAAATAATAAATGTTTTCATTTGCTTTCTCAGATGATTCAACAATGCAAGATGAATGCAATGAAATGCAGTTAATGGCACTTCAGCTACGCATCAGTCCATTTTGTTGTCGTCGTCGCCATTTTTAAGAGTATATTTTTAGTACCTGAGCATCATGGCTGAGTTTGATGCAAGCGACGAGGAAGATCAGGTAAAAAAAAATCGGTTTTAGTTTTACATCATTTGCCGTGGGAATGATTGCTCTTTTTAATTTGGTGAAAATGGTGTACATGTACCTCCCCGAATATAGCTATCGTTGAATTCACGGCGTGACTCTTTTTCTTAGAGAAAGATTGAAATCAGTTGTGAATTGATAAAACATTAGCCCGGTATACCCAGAAATTTGTAGAAGCCATAATGATTGATCTTATTTCCCTGAGCTTCGAAAAAGCCCTAAACAAAGGGCAGAAGGGCACAGGTCTGATTTCCTTGAACAGTTTGTGCCACTAACAAATATCCATATTTCAAAACGATTTTAAGGAACATAACTGATCATGCTGCTCACACTTCAGAGATATTCGATATCATGATGAATTCTGATGAGTGATTAGCAATTATGCATGTAGCCTACCAGTAGATTTCATTGTTTTTCAAGTTTGTTATGTTTGCTATTGAAAATTGGAATCGACTCTGAATGGAATCATGATTCCTGGATGGAGAGGCATTCAATTCCAAACATGCTGGAATCGACCAACACTGTAAAAAGTTATTAATTATTGTTATGCATTGCGTTTCCTATACAGTTCTATGATGCATGTGAGAAGCTTCCAGTCACGTGAGTATCAAATCTTCTAAAGGCACATTGTAAAGTTGGCTCGTTTTGGAATATTGAGACTAGATTTATATTATTTATTTAAAAAAAATGTTTTAATTTTGTGAAAATTAAGGTTGAAAGCCTGTTTCAGTCTTGGTTGAGTGTAGAGATCGTGTTTGGTTAGTTTGCGAGGAAGGGCAAACTTCAGGGGCTTGAGGGCACGTGCCAAGTCACTCATTTCCTTGGAATTTTAAAATTTAAACAGAAGAAAATACTGGAAAACATGTCTAGGAAAACAGGAATAAGTGGTCATTTATGATGCGTGCTGTTTGTTGTAAATCACAAAAGAGTTAGTTGCAAGCATGATTGTGAGTTTTATGCATGCGTGAAGTTTTAATAATGTGTCTCATATGCTAATGTGTTGCCAAGGTGATGACCTCCTTGGACTGCTGAAATACGCACTATTACAATGAATATACTCTTATCGTTGGCCAAACCCGCAACCCCAAAGCAAACAAATGCCAAAAGCAAAACCCATAACAAAGAATGCCTAAATGTAAAAAATATAAAACATTGAAATGTTTTTACCTTCCAACAAGTGGAGAGTTAAGGACTGTTTGGGTTAAGAAGAGGGCCTGCATGTAGACTGCAATCGTTGACGTTTGTGTATATAGCTAGCCAGCTAGGGCTGAGTGCTATGGTGTGGTTTTTATGGAGCAAGGATAACACATACCTGTATCTACATCTTCCTGCTTGGGCTGCCTGGTGAAATATTGATGGTAATGGTTGCTGTGCTCTAAGAGATGCATCGGAGCTCATTTAGCATTGATATCAACCCGATTACTTGGCCAGATGTCATGAATATTCATGCCGTCTGGGCGGTATTGTTACTGGTAGCTTGGCCCCTCCCTTGACTGTGTGGGTGCTACAATCACGTTCTTGGGTCACGGTTGACTTGTGCTGTCTATTTTCCCTGCTGATATAGGCCCTGCTTGTTAAATTATGAAAGTTCCAGCTTGGATTGTGCTGTTGAAGGGATAAGGCCACCGTTCCTTCATATTTTTGCTGATACCAAGAATCCAACTGCATTTTTTAATTGGGGTGTGCAGTCTGTTATTGTCCAACTTGCCTTGAATTGAAAGCCTATGCATCAAAGTTGACTAAGTTGTATTCATTTACATATGTACATCTACAGCTTCTACCTGAGATGACATTGCAGTTTTTGGCATGAAAACCCCAAAGGCATTAAAATACCCTTTGAAATTAGTGAAACCAAAGTTGAAATGTGTATCTACATGTACATGTATAAAAAAACAAAACAGTGTCTTGAGAAAAAAAACCTGCATGGTGTCCATAGGGTGCCAGATGCCCTTTTGGCTGAAATGAAAGTTCAGTCTGGTTGACTACAAAAGGACACCATGGTCAAAACAAGGTCAAAGAGAGGCCACCGTAGTCTCTGTGGTATTCTAGACTTATTCTGAAGGCAACACATCACTAATGCATCAAAGCCATGCCTTTTGTTAACACTTCCGTGTTAAGCATGAATGATAATCTAGTTACAGGCCAAATGTGCTGATTTGCTGTTGAAAACTTAACACTTTGGTGATCTTAAGGAGCAGTCAGCTTGTTGGCCTTAAGTCTCTGAAAAACCGAAGTGAGTATTTGTTAATTTTCATGACATTTGCACTTTGAGCACTGAGGAAATCTTTGCCGTACACAGAGTGGTCTCAAAGCAAAACTAAACGCAAAGTAGTTTTGTGCTAGTTGCATTACAAAGAGCAAAGTGAGCTTGTTTTGATGTATCACTGTGCACTAGTTACGTACCGGTATCATGGTAGAGATGGATATAAAAATGTCAGTGAAAAATACCAAGAGTTCCTGTTGGTTCTTCCACAGACATCTAATTCAAAACTGACTGTGGCAATTAATTTAGTTGAACATTATTTTTGACAATTTTAATATTGTTAGATGGCCCATTAAAAAACATCTGTTTTTTAGATGACCTGGCTACCATCTGTAAATAGAGCTATTATTATTGTGATTTATTTTTAGCATTGGTTCTAAAATTGTAGAGGAGAATTCATTCCGTACAACTTGTGTCCAAAACCTTGGATGATCACAACTTCAGTGCACAGCTGTATTTGTGGACAAGAAATGTGGACAAATGTCTCCAACAAAGCATAGTCACATTTATTTCATTGATTTTCACAATCTACATGTACCTTTCAAAAAAGAATTTTATTTTCTAAACATTTCAAAGCCACCCTGGCTTTAATGAGGTATTTGAACACCCGTTGATATAAACAGTTTTTAATTCAAAAAGTTTTCATGGTTTGAATACATAACATTGTTCTTTCAGTGTTGATTCATGGTCTCCAGAATATCAAAAACTAAGAGGCAGAAGTCACTGCATTTTCTGCACAAAAGTACCCCCTCATTCACTTTCAGGACTTGATTCATATTCATAAACTCAGCTTGATTAATATTCATGCATGTCTTCCTTTAGCCACACCCACACTGGCAAAGAGAGGGGCATAATAAATTGCAATCTAAATCTATCCTCCTTGCCTGATTGCACCGGTCTCTCGTTGACTTGAGCCTTGCTGTATAGCAGCATAGCCCACCGTGGCATATATAATGTACATGCACGTTCATAGAGGCACACTGTATTGAATTTAATGCCGCGAAAATCCACGTGACAGACGTCCATTAGTGCGTAGATTGTCCTGTGTGCCATGTACATGTACACACTCCTGTATACCCTTACCAGTGTGAGGACTGCATTGTTGCAAGTGGTATTGGCATTCGTGTAGACCTCGTCTCTCGGTCTCTCCATCCGTGGCATCCTCGGGGGAGAGTCCTCCATCACTCATTGTCATGTTAGCATCCGAAGATGCGCCCACCTGTTCGTCGTCGGCAACATCCACCGAGGAGTCAGGAGCAATCCCACAATGCACTGAGGCTTCTCTTATGTACGTATATGTACGCGGAATTCCTACACACACAAATGTGTTTGTTGAATTACTGGATAGTCATAATCTTACCAAATGAGAAAGGTGTGAAAAAAACTCTTCTCAATAGAACTTACAATGTATTACTGTGGACTAATTGTATATGTTTGCATGTACTTATACTCATGTGCTCATTTGGTGTACAGTTTGTGGACTTTAGCATAAAAGAGGTCCACATTTGAAGACATTGTGTGGACTTGCACACGTACAGTTTGCCCAGTATTACCATCTGTCTGAAAAACAGTTTCAGAGGCATTTGGGACAAAGGGCTGTCTGCAGTGTAAAGGAAAGGTCAAGGAAACCACTGAAAATCTAGCTTGAGACTACATGTACGCGGAGCGAGAGAAGAAACCGATGCTTTCTGTTGAGTATTCTTGCATGCAAACACGTACATATATGTACAGAGTACATGTACATGTACATGTACATACTGGCACATCATTGATTATGGTACGCGTAAAGATAGCTTACCAACTTCTGCTGGTAGTGATGAAACCAACACAGTAGGTAAAACAGTTATGCATCGTACATAGACACTGTTACACGTACTTGCCTAAGTACATGTAAAGTTTATAGGGGTTGATAAATCTTATTTTAGGTTTCTAAAATTAATACGATTCTTGTGTTTGTTTCACTTTCATGTTCAATGTTTTTGCATATGAAAGGATTTCTGTAAATGATTGTCGAGTTCATTTTGCAGGATCAATACAAACATGCACTTGATTTGGTTGTCAGTCTCTTGTAAAAAGTGATGATGTCTTTAGATGCAACCTTCCCTAAAAGAAGCTCAACAATTTGGGGTATAGTCTGCTCAGCCTAGAAGTTGTTGGAAATTGTTGTTTTGAATGTTCAGTGTGTGTGAAGTTGATTTTCAATCAGAAAAAAAACTGTCACCTTGTAAAAGATCTTTCTGCACTGGAAATGAATGTGTGACTAACTGTTGTCTTTATGTCTTGTTGTTTGATCATTGTATTTTCTTACTGTGTCTTACTTGTATTCATTCCGGCATTGTTTTTAAGTGTCAGAATTGGAGCTTTTTAGTTGAGCACTTTTTAACAAGAAATTTTGAAAGCCCTCCACTTTCCTTGTTTCTCTAGGAACTTTGTTGTCATCAGTGACTAAGTAGCTTGATAATTTCTGTATTTGTAATTATTACAATCATGACCTGTTTCCCGGAAAACTTGGAGGAAGCAGTACAGAAACAAATGTTGATAAATGATGAGGGAGGGTTGATAGCACAAATTATGGATCATTGGAAAACCAATCATTACTTTTCTAAATTATTAAAAATGTGCTCAAAATTACACAAATTCAATTTTGGTTTTTAGTTTCTTAGTCCGGATTTTGTTGGAACAGGTTACAATTCTTCTCCTTGTTATTATTTTTATTCAATGCATTTTTTTTTGTCAGTAGCTATAGCATCCGTGTATGTCTGTCAAGGTAAATTTATGAAAGTGGCAGAGTGGCTATCGGTATCACAGTCGATTGGCTAATGGAAGGCGTCGAATGCAATTAGAAATGTGTCTGTCCTGTCAGTGTGCTTGATTAGACCATGGACAGTTTATGTGTTACTATTTGGCCGTTATCCGCATTTAGCCCATGAGCTTCTACTTGTTAAAAACTGGCCTAGCACATATTACATGTGGGTGCATATAAATTCTCCATTCACTGAACAGTGTATGTTGTTGTGAATGGAATGTTTTTAAGTTTTCTTTCATTGAGTTTAAAAAAAAATTCCATCTGCAAAAGGATGATGTCGTAAAGACCTGAATACATGGGATAATAAAATCACATGGGAAACTGTTCAATTGAATTTGACAAGTGTGTGGAAGAATTGAACCAATGAACATATTTTTCCTTTTTGTAAGTGACGATCATAATTGCTCCTGTTGTGTGTCAGATTGAGTCCTGTGGCACACCTTTTCACACGCCATGGTTTCAATGTACATGAAGTAATTTAAGCTTTGTGTCAGTGATTTTAATGTAATCCTCGGTGCCGATACCTACATCTGCTTGGATGAATTATTTATTAATCCCAACCTCTCATTCTTTGACGGGTGCAGACCTGTTTATCGTCATTAATCACTGATGTTATTAGCCCTAGACCTTTTCTTTTGTTTTAGGTCTACACGCAAACGGTGCATGGGCTTGCGGCGTAAACACGAGCAATAGTTTGCTGAAGTCTGCAGGCAGATGAAAAAAATGCCAAAGCTAATTGTGCCTCATTCCTGAATGATCAATAACACTGCTCTGGATTTGTAAGATGACTCTCGAAAGTTATTCCAGCCGGCTTGTTTAGTTTGCATCTATGTTCAGTTTAGTAAATAAACTACAGTTCATGGGCTTTTCCCTGCCCAGCAAGCATTCTAACCATAGTTTTCATCATACAGTAATCTCAAAACAAAATAATTCACGTGCATGTTTTGTGAACTTTTAAAAATCATTGGAATGGGCACAAGTGGGAATGAAAGCCTGTATTCATAGCTCAGGTCGTGATCTGTGAAAAAAGTAGAGAACATTGGCTGAGACACTTGGTGAAGTTTATCATGCAGATAATTCAGAAACTCAGGAGAAGTTTTTGGAAAATCTTGCAAACCAAAAACAATTTTTTTGTTTAAACATGCCGACAGTGTAATAGGTAATTGTACAGTTTTTAACACCCTTATATGTAGAACACACTTTTACTAACATAATGCGCTGTGTTTTTTTTGTCATAATCAGACCCCCCCTCAATGAGAGGCATAAAAGTGGCTCAGGATGGAACAAAGACTTGGCATCTTGTTGTAAAAGTATTCCAGTGCATACTCACAAGTTACACTCAACTCTTTGGATGATTCCAAGTTGAATATGAAAAACTTTCAAGACAGCAACGTGGAATTAAAACTTTTTTGGACTAGTTCTCAAACTTTCCGAATAAGAAACGAGCAGGCCCTGTATCGTTTGCAAGATCAATTTCTTTTCTTTAGCCTTCTGGGATATTCCAGCATCTACATGTAAACAGATCCATAGTCACTCGACTGTATGACGACAGCACACCGACAGAATCTTCCATTGCTTGATTCTGTGAAATTCTCAACTTTTAAATCTTTCATTTTTTTTAGCAGTTAAGTCTCATTTTGCTGGAGCACCCCGCATGCTGAGCTCTGCTTTTTCAAGGTTTCAGAATGTCTTTTTTTTTCCTCATTCTGTTTTTCTATCACAGAGCCCAGGGAATGGACCTGGCTGCTTCCATCGAGGACACTAAGGTCTCCTTGGATCTCTTCCTCAACAACAACTTCAACGAGGCTAGGTCACGTCTAAAACCATGGTACGGTCTCGCATCCACTCCAAAATGAAATAATGTGATACCGGATACTGAGCACACGTATGTTAGTAATTGCAAATGGGGAGTACAGACAGAATGGAATACTTCCATGTAAAGAGGAGTCAGTCGTCTGGAAACTTCTGAAATTAACTGTTACAGATCCAAGAAGGCCTTTTTTTTTTTCAAATGAATCTTATGCACTCAATAGCAGTTCACAAGTTGCATGCAAATGAAAAGATATTTTTAGACCAGCTGGCTTACCCTGCTTGCATTTGTTTGAGGTATCAGTGCCTTTAATCATTAAAGTGAAGCTAAATTCTAGACTTATGTAAAGAAAATTACACCACTTTTGCGCATTTAGGGGCAGTGCAGTATTCATGTTTTGTTAAGGCTTGTTCAGTGACGTTTACAATGCAGGGAGTTAGGGTTCAGGTAAAGAGCGTAATCACGAATGCCCTAGGCATGTTAACATCAGCGTGTTGGTTTCTTTTCCTCTAGGGTTTCCTCCAGTATGTACCATGCCTTGGGCTATGGCACCATCAGCTACCTCCAGGCCATCATGACCTTTGACCCGGACGATATCACCGAAGCCATCAAGTGGGTCAAGAACTCCATTGAGGTGTCCAATCGTTTCCGTCGCCACAGCAACATGATGGAGTCCATGTCCAAGATGGTGCGCAAGGCAAACTACGACAACTACACCGACGGTAAGTCAGGGCCGGTGCGCCACTATCGGCAGTCATGAAAAAAAACGAAGCAAGTCATTCCTAAGGTACTTCAGGGGATCTGAAAAACTTCTGAAAAAATTTCCATTTCAGAGGCACTTTAGTATCATGAAGCTATGAAGTTGAACTCCTTGCACATGTACGTCTAGAAGTGCTTATATTTCAATCTATTAAAATTTATTTTCTGATCAGATCAAAAGATTGGATGTGTGCCAAAATGAATTGTGAAAACTAGGTTTAGAGCAGATTGTGTAAAAACTGAGAAAAAACAGATTCGAACCCCTATAAACATTTTTAAAAAATCTAAAAACAATACAAATCTTTTCCACACAAAAAGGAAATCAGACAAAAGGGTGCCGGCCTGCGACTTTGTAAATACAATGATACTCATTCACATGTTTTATGTTGAGTATTCGCAGATCACATCATTTTATTGGCTACCTCTCCCCCTTCCCCCAAACTGTGAAAAGCTTAATTGCCTGATATTGAACACCGACAATTTTTTTGGTATTGATTTGATTCTGTCACTTTACACTGTTAATGGACACCATGTGAGTAAATGCATTAATGGTGTGGTGGCTACATGTATGCCATGTGCATGTACGTAAGTTTACTAATGTACATGTATCTATCGAACAATGTCATTTATTTCCCAAGCTCCCTTTCCATTTTATAAATTAGGGGTCCAATTTTGCCCCAGTCCTTGTCATGTCTGACATTTATCATTATGTAAGTTCAGAACACATTCTCTTATTTCCAAGAGTGATGAATTAATGCAGTTTACCTTCCAAACAAATAGAAAAAGTTTGAAATCAATTTCAGTGATGGTTCCATGTCGAATAAGAAAGGTCAGATGTAACAGGGACACTTCAATGTCACACCTTTGGACCCCTAATTTATAGAACGACCCATATGTACATTGATCATACATGATCATGCGTATGAAGGAATTGGAGCGCATATATACTTAAAACATGTAAAATAGGATTGTGTTTTGATCTCAAGCTAATTTCAGTGCAGAATTCAAGTAGGAGTAGAAAGAAAATTCTGGACAAAACTATGAACCCATCGCTGGCAGAAATCCTTGTTCCAAATAGTCTGTCTTTATGCAGATACAATGTACATGTATATATACATGAGCTTGCACAGTACCGATGTATACATGTACATGTACATCTAATTAGCACACTGGGTTGGTGTTAATATTTTGACTGTTGAACTGCGGTACACAGGTTAGGTGTAGCAGGGACAAAAAATGTTACACCTTTGACCTGAAGTGACAGAATGGCCCACATGTACACTTGTACATGGTGTCTACATGTACATACGGTATTCAGAAGGCATTTTAAATTGGGGCTTTACCAGAAAATTAACACGTGAAACAGTTTTGCTGGAGTTAATGATGCCCAGTAGACTCGAAACTGCTTGTTTGGGGTTGAAGAGTTCTACTGGTCAAGGTTTTTGTGTCTGGAAAATATTTCCAACTCCCTGCATATAATTACATTCAAGGCCTCATGCCTCACGCTAGTCACAATAACAGGCAAGGCTCAGAAATAAGTCTTGTAGACATATGACAATATAAAAATATCAAAAATAAGATATACTACATACATGTATAATACGCATACTGCACGTATATATTATCTAGCCATACTCTTGTTTTTGTTTTTTTGTCTTAATGGGTCTTGTTTTGTTGTCTCATCTGTTTGGACTCCCAAGAGCAAACTCAATTAAACGTGTTTTGGCCTGTTTTACTTTTATGCAGAATGTGAAAATATTAAACTGAATATACATGTTTATTTGTTAAATACAGGAGAAGCAAAATAAAAATAATAGTGGGAAAAAAAAGTGGTTGTGGGCAATTTCTTTTTATTGGTTTCGAGGTTAGATGTGAATCACAAAGAAATATTTTGTGCACCATCAGCTGTATTAAGGTGTGGGTATTTTTACTCAAAGGGGCCCTCTGTTGTCAGAACTGCTATTGGGGAATTTCTTGGTTAGCAATGTGACTGATATTTTTTGCCAGTAAATCAATCTAAAGTTCTGAGCTTGTTGCTCCTAGCCACTGATGTCATCACTGCCATGGTTGCACAACTTGTATTAATGACCTGTGTATCCAATTCCCTGCAAGGACTAATTGAATTCAGGAGGTGGGATTATGAGGATTATACACAACCACTGGACTTTGCTATCGGGGATTTGAATAATCGAACTGTCGGCAGACCAGGCAGACCAAGTAACATGTTCTGCACTCTGGGGGAACATGGACACTATCTCTCACACACAGGTGTGGGGTATCACACACACTCAACCTGTGTGTGGCCATGTCACTTGGATGAATTGTGTTGTTTACAAAATTAATCGTGGTGGAAAATGAGGGGGAATGGAGCGTTGAAAGAGAATTGGACTCTGGGCAGAATGGTAGCAGTGAAAATTGGCAAAAGAAAATCCTGGCGACTTGTACATTGTACTTGTGCATAAAGGGCGTGTAATCATGTATCTTTTGGAGATTTGGCATTGCATGGATTTGAGGTTGCTCAAAATAAGTAGGAATATCTGTATAATTGAACTCATTTAAGCACATGGCGTTTTATTTGGTTTTCAAAAGCACTGGTATTAAGGCACATCACATACAAGTTTTATGATGAGATTTTGATGTGTTTCAGAAAAAATATCCTTAATCTATTTTCAGATTTCCTTGAATGTGTAAACAAAAACCCTGATTTAAAAAATGGGATCTCCAGTACATCGTTGTCTTATAAAAGGGAAAACTGTTAGTCAAAAGGTGTGTTCCACATACCATGTACGTGCATAGAGTATTCCTCAGAAAGGATATAGAGTATATTATATTTTGGTCAGTTTGCACTGGAGAATTGTAAAATCAAACCGTGGCTCCTCCTAAATTGAAAAAAAAAGGAAAAACCATGAACGAGCCTGAGAAGAGCCTGAGAGTCTATGACGTACTTCACCCTCATGGAATAATGTCCTCTCCCAAATTGTGTCTCTCGTCATGTCGGATCTTGGAAAAAGCAATTAGAGGCGGGCAGAACTCCGAAAAGCAGGGTTGACCTTTTCGATGACGCCGCAACGGCAGGCTTTCTTGTGAAATTTCCCTCCACGGAATTCTTGTGTGGAGTTGGGGGAAAAAAATCTCACCGAAGCAACCCTCACCCCCCGCCCAAAAAAATTAAAATAATCATGAGGGAATTGTACATGTATGATGGAAAGTATCTGGTGTGTTTGAAAATCACTTCATTAAATCTGCAACAGGGTAATCCTTCTTACTGTCATAGCAATCTCACTGTCTTATTAATCTTAGTCATTTCAAATTTAAAATGCTATGAATTTTTTTCTGTGTGCCAAGAGTGTTGGCATTGGGTAGAGAGGCCTGTAGGAAATTTGCTACATTCATATGTACACCTATTGGAAGTTTCTTATTACTATATTTTTTGGCTTGCGCTATCTCAGCGACTCATTCTTGTTTGCATGCCTTCAGTTTTGGTTGTCATGGGGACATTTCAGAATGTTCACTCAAGGCACCCACTTTTTTGTCTAATGCTCACTGATTCTGGGTAAATTGTGTTGCCAAGGTCAACTTTGACCTTGATAATTAGTAGTCAAATGGGAAGAGGTTGAACTAAAAAAGGGAATGGAATGTTGAAATGAAACACTTTGTTACATTCTATTGATTTTTAAAATGCATACATGCACAGATCGAAAGAGTTTTGGCCACATTTGTGATGCTATGATTGTAATGAAAATTTGTATGGGCCAAATTGAATTAAATGTAAGTTAAGCATACACATATAAAAAAGACACACTGGCAGTAGCATTACACATGTGTCCAGATGAATTCTGGCAAACCTTACTTCCATGGGTACCATGTGCATCATATGCCCTGATGAGTTTACCCATGGAGGTAGGAAAATGATTGTACAATCCCTTGTACTGTACATGTATTGGTGAACATGTTCTTATGGAGGGGTATAAATGTTTATGTTACACTGCACCGTATATTAAGGAAATGTTTGCCTAACTTGGCAAGATTTTTGCCTCGTTTTACCGTCAGTGGTCCATGTCAAATAATTGATGCAGGTTCTGTTCAAGAAAAGTGGGGCCGTGAAATTCTGCCTTACTTTTCAAGGGGGCCAAATCTACATGTATGTATATGCAAACAAATTTTCATCTGTAGATGAAAGCACTTAATGGTGATGTTGTTCCAAATCCACTGGATCTTGAGAGGTGCTTACTAATGTATTTCTGGAAGTAAAAAGTCAGAGCAGTATGCCTCAGGGAGTCAGTTATGAAGTACATTTGCGTGGATGTATAGATCTGAAGGACAAAATACCAGAACAGTTGTTGAGCGTTACTTAATCGTTCATGTCTTTTTTTCAAGTGTTTTCCACAGTGGACAGAAATCATAAATGTGCTGTTGAAATAAAATATGTTTCCCTCAGGGTACTCATACACAAAAAATACTACCAAGAATTACTAGGAATATATTCAGTGCTTCTAGGTGAAACCGGTCACTCTCCGAAGAGAATGGAGAAAGAAAAATATGGTGTCCTTGGGTAAGGGCTTTACCAGATTTCCTTTTTAACCTGTATTCTGGAAACGCTCTCGAGTAGAATTTGTTAAATTATTAGTTGATTGCAGTGCAGATGTTCCAGGAATGCCTGGCATGGCTGTTCACATGCTCCTTTGGAAGTTGGAGCCAGGAACGAATCCCCCCTGGTAGCAGTGTAGGGCCATGGTTCTTCTTGGAAAAGATTCTGGAAACATCTTTTGTTTCTTTTGCACGTCTAGCTGAGATTCATGGTGAGCTGTGCTATGCAGAGTCAATTCTAGAAAGAGCACTCATCACGTTCATTCAAGACGACAACCTCATCAGCTTCATCAAAGGGGGTCTGAAGATCAGAAGTGGTCACCAGTCTTACAAGTGAGTAAAATTCCTTAAATGCGGACTTGACTACGAGCCCACTGGAAGTTTTGAGAGCTGTTGAATATCAAGAAGGATGTGCAGTTATCAAATCATCCCGAGAAACAATCAGCAAAATATTCTTTTTATCCCAACTTTGCTATATTAAAGGAAATCAAATCTACAAATCTTGGCCATCTCAAGTCATTTATAAATCTTCACTGTTCGCAATCCACCAGGAACTGCATTCAGATGTTGCAGCAGAGAAATTGGAAGGATGAATATTCCAAGATGCACTTTGAGAGCGGGGTCCGGTTAGGACTTGGTACCTTCAATTTGGTAGGTACAGATGACCAATATTTGCCATCACATGGGTATGTTCCCCGAGGAATGTCGTGCAGTTTGATTTCATCGTAGGAAGTGTCCGAACATATTGGTGGTTTGAGGTTACAGATATGGTTACAGATAATTGCAAGCTACGTTGTGGACAGAGAAGTGAAAGCACTTCAGGATGGATTTCAAGTGTTCTTAACAGCACTCCCCAACAGTTTTGTTTTGATCCTCTCAGAAATACCACAGGTTGGGCACAAAACATCCTTTCTGTGAATGCTTTTAATGTGAAGATGGAAATTTACGTAAGGGTGTTAAACACAAAGTTCTTTCTTATTTTTATCTCATTACATGTGAAAAAAAAAACCACTTTGTGTTTCAAAACGTGCTTTTCAAGACATGCTGTCTTCGTGTTTTTCCAACCGTACTTTTGAGTTGTAAATAAGCCTATAGAGGAGTTGATACTTACGAAAAATCTCTCCCTGTTTTTTTTCCCTAGATGATCTCCATGCTTCCCAAGAAGATCATGAAATTGTTGGAGTTCATCGGCTTCTCAGGGGATAGGGTAAGTGCCAAAAACAACCGGCAGAAATTCCATTATAAACCAGTGGGAGTAGTAATCATAAAATCTCTGTTGTGATGGAGTCTCTCTCATGTCCATGCACCCAGTGCAGGGAAGCGTTCTTCAAAGGCGCTACCTCCTGTAAGTTTCAAAAGTCTAAAGGGTGTTCTTTTGAAAGACAAGTTAGCTTACATTTTAAAGGCCTTTCAAGGCCCTTCAAGATGAAAGCAAGAATTGATTAAGAACAGGTGGAGGGTGAAGAACAAAGGCAATCAATAACAATGCAAAAAAATGTTTGTTGTCATACCAAACAAAGGAGTGTCTCATTGTAGAGGTGGATTTGAAAAGCAACGTGAAAGAGTCAAAGAAAATCTGGCAGGAAAAGGTTGGATTCGAACCCGGAGACACTGAGTTGAGAGGTGATATCAGTTTGATGACTGTACAGATCTGGGATTCAGTCATCTTAATTCATGTATTTTCGTGACTTGTCTTTCAAAAGGTCCTTTGATGTCCCAGAATGGCGACATCTTTTCTAACATTCTCTCTCCCTTGCATTTTTCTTCCTCCCAGGACCACGGTCTTTCTGAGCTGGAGTCGGGCAGCAAGTTGGACAGTGTCAGGGCACCACTCTGTGCATCGGTGCTCATATGTTACCACACGGTGGCAACGTATACATTCGGTAGGGACCAATCACAGAACCTATTGTTGAATGATTCATAACTATGCCAATCTACCCAATGCATCCTCTGGGAACTGACCATTGCATGAATGTGCCCCAGTGTCTGGAAGATTAGAGGGAAATGTTTCTTTCAGTGGAAGGCGGTTTCTTTACAAGTTCACCACAATGCTCATCTACCACAAGTGATACAGTCACAAACTGTACAAATGAACTGTGACAAAAGTATTCCTTTGTCTTTGTTCATCGTGCTGCTTCTATAAAGCTGCTGGGTAACCGGAACAACTCACTGACATGCTGGAAGAAGTTCATCTAATTATGAGGGCACCAGTCTAATACCAGTCTGCCCCGTTCATAACTGATTACATTCATTTCCTCACTCTGACGATGGTGTTACTGTCGACTTTGAAAACAACATCTTCGTAAGAGAGGTTCTCAATTTTCTGGTTTATTTAACTTCCCAGGCACAGCAGATGGTGACATCGAACATTCCAAGACAATTCTGTCCCCCTGCCTGGAGAAGTACCCGACAGGGGTCATATTCCAGTACTTTGATGGCCGGATTGAGGAGATCACGGGCAACCTGACGTCGGTGGGTAAAGAGTAAAGGGGAATGTCCTCTTGAAGGGAACCCTGCCTAATTTATGAATTTGGAGCGATGACTCTTGCTACTGATGTGTTCGTACTTGTATCACTATGACTACCCATAGCCGCTCACTGAAATGCTTGTCATGGCTCGCAACGACTGCGAGACTGTACATTCAGACTTTGTTGCTCAGCTGAAAATGAAATGACTGCACATATGTGTGGAATTGGATTTGTTAGTGTGAAACATGTTTGTACAGGATTTCGTTCAATAGCTTGACGACTTTCCAGTATACTTTTTTCAGAGTAGTGTAAGATTCTCGAATACAAGTTACAACGGGAACACGCAGAAAACCTGAAAAGGGCTCAAAATGAGAAAGACACAATCTGTATATGATGGGCAAACATGCACTAAAGAACGGAGTGGCAAATGGTGATTTAAATCCATATTTAGTTTTCAAATTGTGGAGTTTAAATATTCTTCAGACATTATGAAAGTGTTGGTATCAGTGACATGTTTATTGATATTTGTTGGATTATTTCACATTTAAGATCCAGTGTAGCTCCAAGAACATCAAAATCTACATCTAAGGCAAATGATGGATTGATCAATTAATATGATTTGAATTTCTGGCTGATTGTCCTCTGTCTAGGCCATCGATAAGTTTACAGAGTGCATCGCCTCCCAGCAACAGTGGCGGCAGTTCCACCACATCTGCTACTGGGAGCTCATGTGGTGCCACGCCTTCAATCTGGACTGGCTGATGGCCTGCAAGTATGCCGACAAGCTCTGCAAGGAGAGCCGGTGGTCAAAGGTCAGCGGGCATGCTCAGTCTGTCATGGCTAGTTGTGAAGCGCGCTGGTGGTGCCAGATTTCATAGAGCTGTCAAGCAGGACAAATTGTGCTAAGCAAAACAGCTGTGAACTACTCATCATAAGTAGTGAAGTTCCCATAACGTTTTGGCTGGCAGCCTAGCTTTGTTGAGCACATTCTGTCCAGCAAATTTTAGTGTGATTTGGAGATCTGTGAACCGGTCCACTCTGCCCACTGGGAACTCATCTGAATACTTCCTTTCTGTTTAATCTGGCCATGAGTTTCCTCGAGTAGCCGGTGACTTTTTTTTTCCTAGCTACCAGCACTTAACAGTTCAATGTGGCAAATGGCAGTACATTGGGCGCCTGAGGGAGCCAAGGATGCCATGTGCTGTGTGCCCCCAAGGGGCTAAAAAAAGATCCCACATTGTGCCAAGAAGTCTTTGTTGTTGACCCCTTCAGGCCACCTACTTCTACCAGCAAGCCTGCTTCCTGTCCATGTGCCCGGACCAGACCGAGCAGACCAGGAAGAGTTTGAACGCGATGTTCCGTAAGGTGCCAGACTTCAAGCAGCGGGTGGCGGGCAAGTCCATCCCGTTTGAGAAGTTTGCCGTCCAGAAGTGCAAGAAATTTCTTGAGCACGGCATTGAAAACACCCTTGCTGGCTTGGTGAGTTTAAAAAAACAACTTTTTTCTCCTTATTTTGAAGTTTCAAAATAAATTTTGATTTGATTTGTGGATGTTTAAATAAAGGGTTACACTTATTGCCAAGAACATTATATCTGACTTATATAGACTTCTAGTCACGGACAGAACTTGATTTTTTTTTCTGTCTGTAGGAACTGATATATACATGGAATGGATTTGACATTATTGGCCAAAAGGAGGAGCTGTTACTGCCTGTAATTGACATTGTGGAATCAACAATCAAAAACCTCAATAAAACAAAAGGTTGGTCAGAATAACAGTGTACCTGTGCTTAAGGCACACTGTATTCAGGTAGCAAACTGATTCTAAAACCTACACTGTACAGTGTGCTGGCTGGTCTGTGTTGTTACGATCGAGTGATGTTTGCATTCCGACCACAAGCTGCCATTGGCTGCTCTTTTACCCGCGCGTCGGGGCTACCATTGTACTATAGTCTCCTATCTGTTTTGATCATAAAGTCAGGGATGTGTCCGTTGTAGCCATCTCTGTGTTAACCTTGCTTGCAAGTTTGGTATAACCACCTGTTGGTTGCAAACACCTGTGTTTCAAGGCCCTGGTTCATTGTGGCTGGACTCATTGGATACCTGTCTGTTGGAGTCACCTGTGTCATGTGGCAGCCTGTTCAGAAGATTGCCAAATTCTGAAGTGAAATAAAAGAGTGTTATTAGTGACTGAATCCCAGGAAATCAGCATTTTGTCTATTTTCTTGTTTCAGTTTACTTTAAAAAGAATAGACTTGGCTGTTCTTCTGATGTATCCCTTGGTTTGAAAAATGATCATCATGTTGGCTGAAAGGTTGAGGGTTTCCATCGATTTACATCATGCAAAATTCTCTTGACAAACCTTCCTACTTGAAAGTGGCCGCTTGGGTCACCAATGTCCTGCTGTGAATATTTTAGAGATGTGCTTGTCTGTGGCATTCAGGTGGCAACGTGTGTTACTCCGATGACTACGGACTGGCCATGCTGCTCAAAGGCCTGTGCTTGAGATCTCTTAGGAGGCCGTCACAGGCCGAGATGTGCTTCCAGGAAGTCATCGAACAGTGAGTTTATCTACATTTGCTTTGCTCGCCAACTGTAACGTTGATTTGCCGGCGCTGACAAACACTGGTGGGAATTTTGAAAGCCAAAGTTTCTGTGTCTCTTAGTTCTGTGAAGGGAGAGCTTTCCCACAGTAGGCAACACCAAGAAGGCTCATGGCTTAACCGTTTTATTTGTGCGGCTAAAGAGAAAGGGAGACACAAGACAGAACAGAATGTGATGAACAAGAGCAGAACAAGATATAGAACTTACTTAGATAAGTGCCTAGAGTCACTCTCACAGTAGAATATGATGAAGATATTTTGATGGCTGTGCGAAGTGTTCCAGAGTCTTTCTTGAATAGGTGTTTCTGGAGCACATGCGACATGGCTCTGGCCAACAGAAATAGACTTTATTGTGATGCTGCCATGTTTGTCTTGTTCCCTTCAGACCCATTGGCAATAGTAATACAACTTCACATTTTGAAAAAGGGAACAGACTATTTTCCCTTCCGTTCCGTTCCCTTCCCAGCCTCAGTTTGGTTACGTTGTGTGAATGGCAGAAAAAAACAAGATGGCTGCCCCATGATAGAGACCTCACAGTCTTCAGAGTTATAAAGCCCTCCATCAGACGGAGGAGCAGTAAACTCTCGTAACATCTTCTCTGTGCTCTTTCTGTGACAGAGAGGGTAAGATCTTGTACAACAACTATCTGGTTCCCTACGCCACGATGGAGCTGGGCCTTCTTTACTTACAACACAACCGACTGAGTGAAGCCAAACTGTTCCTCCTTCAGTCCAGGTCTGTAAACTAAATCCTACTCGCTGGACTGAAAAGCAAAGAGGTTTGCCCACTAAACCAGGTTTACCTGAGGGATATTTAGGCCAAAGAGATGATATCTTGTTACTCCGCCAAATGAATGAATGAAAACGAACTAATGCGGTGTTCAATAATGACAGTCTGAAAGGAGAGGATATATTTTCAGATAAACATCAAATGGCAAATTCTTTTCTGACAAAAAGATATTTTCCTCACTGTCCTGTGAGAACTAGTGTTCCCCACTGAGCGGTTGATTTAGTGTATTTTAGTAGAGATCCTCTGACATATTCCTGCCATTTAAAAAAAAAAATGACCTTTGATTAAAATGAATTAATTAAAGAGGATTCTTGAAGGAACTCATTAACCCTAACAGTCCTCAATCCCTCACCTGTTGGAGGACTGTTAGGGTTAAGATTGTGCATGTGGCGAGTATGTGCAGCATGTAATACGACCCATAAGATTTGAACCAATCAAAGATGCCAGCATCTTCACAGGAAAGGATCTGCAGCGAAGCAGTGCATGGATAGAAAAGATAGAAATCACTCTCATAAAGTACACAAAGTTTTGTGTTCTATGGCAGAAGACATTCAATAGCTTTTGAACACATGCAGAGATCAGCACAACCGTAAACTTTTCAACAAAGGTCTTCTGTTCTCTCTCCTGATTTGCACCAAGCGCAGGAGCAAGAAGAAGTTTATGCTGGAAAACAAGCTCCACTTCAAGGTGCACTCGGCCGTCAACAATCTGCGGGTCAAGCTGGAAGCGGCCAGCAACAACAACCACACCGCCTCCACGCAGGACCTTGATTCGCTGGACGAGGAGTCCATCGCAGAGGGAGAGAATGGGCAGGACGGAGCTGCGGTGTCCATGGCAACAGAAGACGCCATCAGCCAGAGCTGAGACTTAAATGGATCGGCGGATTGGGGGGACGGGACTCACCTAAGATCGATTAGGAATTGTGCAGAAAGTGCCAACGCAAAGAGCAATCACCGTATCATTTGTCAGTGGGTATTGGCTTTGTGGACAAAATGTAGAGGGCGCTGTGAGTTCTTGCTATGAAATACAAAAAAGATAGAAATTTATTAAACAGGTTATCAGCCGGACATGAGGATTGGTACAGTAATAAGCAATTCTCAGCAGATTTGGGACCTGATACTTAGATTTGTCGAGGAGATTTGTGTACGTCCTTGGCAACCCCTATAAAGTGTGCTCTGGATGTTGTTGGATTTGCCAAGAGTAACGAGCAATGCATCATAAATATACTTTCAAATAAACAAAAAATGGACAGATTGTTTTCATCTACAGCGTAATATTCTAAGAGTCACGAATGGTTCATATTACAGACTCCTTCTACCTGAAGGTGGCACAGTGTAGCATAAAGACGAGGATGAATGAAGAATAGCATTATTATAAGAGGAACGTATCTTAGACCATAATAGGGAGTCTGCAATAGTTGGGTTTATTTTCAACTAAACTGTGGAAGCGTTGTGAATTGATAAACTGCGGGGTTGTCCTCAAATGAAATTCGGAAAGAGAGTGTAAAAATAATTGCTAACATGAGGTGAAGAGTTACAAGAATGCTCCTGGAGACAAAATGAAAGGATATCTTGCATATTTGATTTCATGACTATAAGATATTTTTGAGAGACAACAAATTATTTATAAGAATTGTCCTTGGGCAGAATTGGCCCAAAGAAGGTTGTGTTGTCAATGAAATATGTTTGAAGATACACAGTGTCGAAAAAAGAATCGTTTGAAGAATGTTGTACGTGTACGGGGGTATTTTTGAAGTTAAAGTGTCGAGTGTTTTTAAGAAGTAATTTTAAGCACAGGTTTATGGCATGTGAGTTGCACATCTTAAGCAGAGATATTGGACAGGATGTAGATGTATCTCAGTTGGTAAAGAACCATAGCGGGTAGTTGTTCGATGGTTATGGGTTCATATCCCACTTCAGTCAATTTTTGTGTTAAGACTGATCTAAGAACAAGCTTAGTTATTTATCACATTGACAAATCGGGGCTGGATACACCCCAGTTGGAGCACCAGCACAATCTTCTAGATGTTGCCGGTTCAAATCCCTCTTCAACCAACTCCCCTGTCTTGTCTAGTATGGGTCAAACCCCCCCCCCCAAAAAAAACACAGTAAGTTCTTGACATTGGCAAAGTGGGGCTCGATGTGCCTCAGTTGGTGGAGCTTCGGAGCGGTGTGTTTTTGGAAGTAGTAGGTTCGAATCTAGCTCAAGTCCATTTTTTTGCTCAACCTATTACCTGATCAAAGGATTCTGTTACAGCTTTCTCGCTGTGATTTGTTTCATTAGAGGCAACTGTAGATTAGATGTTACCTACATGTAGGTGTGTTTGTTTGAGTCTGTGGTGTGCTTTTTCTTCCTTTCAAAACTCTAATCACAGATTTTCAGAAATCTGTCTCTTCTTACGTTTGTACAATTTTTGCAATTTGATATCAATGCATTATGTTTGTTTTTAATTTAAAAATTGAATTTGCATTTTTTAACATCTTCTAATTGACAGTAATTACGTTCATCGGGAACACATTTTATTCCATGGGTTTTGTGTTGTGCAATACAAGAAATATTAAAAGACTGTTGTAATCGCTCTGTCCATGAGGTCCCCTCTCAAGCCCGATAAGTCATCGAAAATGTAAACTGTTGAGTAGAATTAAACCTATAAGGTTCAGGAAAATGAGGCCTGATTACTTTGGTTTGGGGTTGGGAATTTAAGCTCTTGGTGAGTCCAGGCGAGTACATGTACTCTCAATAATCGGAGTTCAAATACTTCATTTCTTGCACATCTGTATGAGGCTCTTTCCACACACACGCATTTGTACTGGGTTGTGACAGAAAGTACAAATTGCGCTGTAGTTATAGTTGGGACTAACAGCACTACGAGGAGGAAAGAATTCCATACACAGAAGCTGCTTGACACCCCGTGCACAAAATCCTGTGAGACTGGTCTGAAAAATTCTAAGTGTTTTCCAAGTGAATACTTTAATATTTTCCCTGCCAAATGTAACTTTTTAAGACATGTTATTGTTGTCAGATGGTTACTTGGTAACTTTAGGGGAAACTTAGTAGCTTTCGTGTATGGCATTCTTTCCGGTGTACATGTTACACAATGCAGTATCGACCAAAGATTGTATAGCTCTGCCTAGCGGCGCAAGATGGATAACTCGGCCAAAAAGGTGTTATCACCGTGGGCGCCATTCAAGTGTGAACGTGTGTGTGCGTGCCTGTCGCGGTGTCGGCACCTGTGCATTAGGCGTAGTCGAACCGAAATGGTTGCAATAACAACGTTTAATGCGTTTTCACAGTGAACTTCCCCATCTTGCTACGCGGCGCTATAAGATCTTTGGTATCGACCAGTGTACACATTGTACTCAAAGTGATCATGTCAACCTAACTGTAATAAGTAGATGTGGGGACTTTTGACTTGTCCACACTATTAACCCTAACCCTCCTCAATCCTTCACCTGTTGGAGGATTGAGGAAGGTTAGGGTTAATGGAGCATAATTTGACAGTGATTAGAAATGGCAGCTGTGCAGGTTTAGACCTAGATTTATTTCTTCCCACTGGGTGTATTTTGTGGCCAAATAAAATTATTTTGTACTTAATATCAGACTTGGCCAAGTGGAATATGATGTGCATGTATCATGCGGGTCACTGTTACATTATTAAGAATATTGAGAAATGGTCCGTCAGGTCAAGTTTCTGTTGAGTCATTTAAACTGGATTTTAAAAATGGTGGTTGCATGACACACAAGGCTACAATTTACCTGACCTTTCCCCTTTGGACTTTTAGACTACAAATGGGCTAAACGGCAAATTGGTCAAACTTCCCAAGTCTGAAATTCAACTGCAGTTTGTCCTTTTTTTTATATGGCTCATGGTGAATGGCTCCTTGTTTCATTCTTTTTGGGGGGTCAAAATTCACCAGCATCCCTTTCATTTGAGATGTCCGAAATTGTAATCTGTACTTTTCTACAAAATGTGCTGTTTGTAAATACTGTAGGATGCAGAAACATTTGTAAACCAAGAAGGATAAATAATTTCATCATGAGATTTCTATACAGATACATACATGAATATGTAACTTACCTATTTCCACATCCAGCTAGGTTTGTGAAGTCCTTAATTCAGGATGTGTGCACACTTCACAGAATGACTTGCTATCAGACTGAGGTAATTATATCTGTCTTGTTCGCAAAACCAAACGATGTAGTCACTGGATGGGAACTCACAGGGAACATACCAACACTGCTGTGTTCTGTATCATAAAATGTCAACATTTCATTACAGTCCAAAATTGTGGAGAAACACAGACAGATGATGGATCAGCTCGTCAGTTGCTGGTTGGTCATTGATGTCACAAGGTGATAGGGTTCCAGCCGCTTGTAAGTTGTACTCCAAAATTGGTAGTTATTTTGGTCACAGCTGTTGACAGTACCAGTACCAGTGTCACAGTACAAGCACACTGTAAGTAGTTCTTGTCCTTATGGCAGGCACCAGCCTAAATTTTTGGGAATGGGCCTGGACTTGAACATTAGGCACTTTCTGTAGTAAGTGTGTACTATGTATGTGGCTGTGGCTAGTCTCATTGTAGGCCCGTAATTGGCAAGAGTCAGAGACATAGCCCTACTTGACTGCATTTGAGACTTACCCCCACGTCTACATGGTAAATGGGATTTTCTTCTGTTGTAGTCTGTCTTGAGCCATAAAGTTTTGTGAACTAAAATTAATATACAAATGCTTTCCTTAACTATATACCAAAAAGAGGTAGTCAAGTATATGAACGTGTCCACATGATGGCCTAAGAATTCATGTAGTAGGCCTAAATATTACTTCTGCTAGAGCTCAGATTATTTTTGGTTGTTTGCATTTTTTGTCGTTCTACAAATTGGACCCTTTACTCGTCACTTAAGACCTTTTACAATGCTTTTTAATTTGGAATGGCTTGGGGGACAACAGTTTAAGAACTCAATTGATGAAAGGTAAAGGTGACTGCTTTAATGTCTGCGTATCGTAGATTATATCTTACCAATGAAGAACAAAACCTCAGGAATGCAATTTGTAAAGTGTAATTGCTGCAATAATAGGGTGTTTATTCTTGAACTATTTTTAGCTCAATATGAGTAATTCAAAGATGACAGCTTGGAGCGCTCAGCTGAGATAAACCTCATCTACAGTTGTGGCAGTAGAAGTTTGTCATGAGATTTTGTTCATACACTGTATTAAAATAAGCAAAGCTAATAAACAGAAAACCCTCACCAAGTCTGCCTGTACTTCAGTTGAATATCTTATTGATTTTGTAGTTTCACTTAAACACAAAATTCCATCTTTAGAAGACATACGTAGTCTCTGATGGGGACAGGCACACAGTAGGCACAATTCCATGTGCCTTTTTCTCAGGTTGTCATGCTGACCTTCCTTTGCCTATGAGCCCCGCGCTGGACCAAGATAGGGCGCAATTTTAGCAGTAGAGGCTCCTTTGATAGGAACTGCGCGTTGCTGGTTGACAAACAACTATGAAACACAAGTGTTGCAGTCACATCGCTGCCAACAAAGTGAACTCTACCGACCAACATGGCTCTTTTCAACTAATGAGGGGGGTTCTTCTGCTCAGGGCGATACTGGCCATAAACTAAATCAAATGTGTGACCTTGGCTAATCAGGTGTTTTAAATGTTGTCCCCTGGACAGAACACCTGTTTCAGCTTTTGCAATTAACCTTGTGTCCCCCCAAATTATTCAGCTTTAGGAAGGAGACCAACAACAATTTATGGAACAGGGGTATGTCCAGATAATGGTGCTAGTTTGGTTGAGTCATGCCTCATCGGTGTCGTTTGTTGGCCCCCCTGGAAAAGATCAACTTGGGCATTCACAGGTTGGAAACGAAAGACTGGGTAAGAGCAATAAAGCAACGCAAATATAAAAGTTAAATTAATTGGTTGTCTTTTAATCTGGAATTTTCTTTTTTTCAACATTGGATGCTACGATGGGTCACACGCCATGCATGAAAACAATGAGATACATATCTACATGTATGTTTGATGGGCTGTATGGGACACCGTACAGACTAATCACAAAGGGGTTTTGATCGATGTATTAAACCCATCTGGTTTCAACAGACAAAAACACCGAGAGTTGAGGAGAGCATGTGGATCTCCGTATACTTGTCACACTAATTACAAACTACAGGGAAATCCACCATAACTCTGGACAACAGTCTTCAGAATCCAGTTTGGACAAATGTTACAAACGACAAAGTTTTCCTTTTCTTCAACATCAAGCTAAAAACATCTGGGTTTTTAAAGACAGAAACAGTTACAACTGACGATGAATGTTGTCAAGTGTTACGTTGGATTTGCCGGCTCATTTTTTTTTTTTTTGGTAACTTGGATTTCAGTTTGAATGCCGTTCTCCTCCAATGCAGTCGTAATGTTTGCTAGGTTACCACGGTAATGAGCTAATGAACAATCCGCATCAATGGGTCCTTCAAAAAAGACCGTAAAACATTAAAGCCCAAAAAGTGAATGTCGAGTAAGTTTACTAGTCAAAAAAATAACAATATATGTTTATTTACTTAATTTTTTTTATTATACATTATTTAATTAGTGACACAGCATTATTTCCCTTATAATACAACAAATACCTGGGTTGGTTCAAATAGTGCATTTGGCACGAATGCCTTCACAGAAAAATTCAACTAAAATTCCATTACATTTTTTTTTTCCCAATTGTTTTCAGCAATTTTTTCAAAGCGGGGTTGTTGCACCACCCGACAGAATGGATAAGCGCCTCTGGTTACAACTGAAAGGGGGAAACCAAAAAAGCCTGTCAGAATAAACGGAATACAACAATCAGTTACAGTCAAAGATGACAAGCACTGGCCTGTTGATGAGTGGAAGATGAAGCTGGTGAAGATGGGGCAAATATAAGATTTTATCGCAACCAGACAGACTTCAGGTCGGCCAAGAAAGATGTAAAAACGACCCCTCAGAACTATTCTTCAAAGCTCTCATTAGCTCTGGAGCTTTAAGAGATGGAGCAGTTTTTCTTGCTCATCACCAAACATTCAAAGAGATGCCACAAAGGGGCTTATATTAAGAAGACATCTCTCTTACAAAAAAAATTCAAATTCTGTATTTGTCAAGTATGCAGTGCATGCCCCAATTTTGATGGGCTCTGCTGGTAAGCAAAGTACTGACCTCCATTACTAGATTCCTGATAACTCATTCAGAAGACGAGTATCTGGACCCCCGTTCTATCAATCCCAACCTTTTGTCTCCAATTTGCCCAAGCGAGCAGACTGACACCATCTGCCGAGGGTTTGAGGGGGGAAAAAAATTACCAATTTGGCTTAAATGACAGTGCCTGTCAAAGACCAATTTGGGGCTACAGACAGAGGGAAAATAATGTTGGCAGTGATTTCCAGGTAACTTTAGGAAGACATCCATTCAAACCGATACGTTCTTTGAGGTTGGGTCGCCTCATCTCAACACAATTTACAGATTGTCCTTATAACCTTTCCACAAAGTCAGTGGGGCAACGTTTGAAAAGCGACTGTAAAGACACCAATCAGCCTTGGCGGAAAAGAAAAGATTCTAAGCAGCCAAATCTGCCCCCCCTCCCCCTTTTTTAAACACTGTTCCCCCCGGAAGAGCCTTTCCACATATCTTTCCCCTGAGGAGCCGCTCACTGGCTCTCTTAAATAATTCTCACGTTTGTTTTCCTTTACAAGGAAACTACTATGCATAATTCAATACAATTACAAAAATCTCCCTGGGCATATCATGATAGACGATTGGATCCTCCTACAAACACCTCCCACACAGCAGGACATTAGCGTTTCATTTGGTTTGTGCTTCATGTCTGGGGCACTGAGCCCTATCCAAGTGGACAAGAATCTACCTTTCCTTAATCCTGCAAATCCTTTCAAAATCTCCTTGTAGATTTTGAAGGGTCCGGGAGGGCTGGGGCTGAGAAATAACAAAGAATGCTTCTGCCGTTTTCTATTTGCGGAAGGGTATGTGATACAATATGGAAATGTACAAGTATAAATTGTTTCCACAAATTGGTCAAAGTCTACGCCCATGCAGCAGGTAAACACACCATTAAATCTGTTGGCTAAATTCAAACGTGAACTGATATAACTCTGTCGCCAAAATATCCAAATCAGTAAGTTACTGATGTCCGGAAAAATGTAGACCTGAAAAAAATATATTTATATTTGTGCATTTGCATTTTTTCCTTTTTGATTAAGGTAAACATTTCACTATTTTTATACAAAGATTTAAAGCCTTGTATGGCTTGGTTTTTTTGAAAAATATCTACACCTTAAAAAAAGAGAGAAAAAAAATCAAGTTGAAACAACCTATTTCTTACTTATGTACAGAGTTGTTTATTAATAAGCAGTTTTCAAGTTTAATTGTTGTAGACATTCGGTTACAAAATAAATTCCACAATCGACATCTTAGATTTGGCTTTTCCACTGCAGAAAAAGGTATTATTTATGGCTACTTCTTTTTTTTTTCTTCCTTTTTTTTCCCTCAGTTAATAGTGATATCCAACCTGTACTCCCGTTGATAGGATACGGCAATAAATGAAAGCATCGTGGAGAAAGTTCCCCCACATTCGTATTTTCTGAATATATCACCACTTTGGTTTTCGTCCGTAATTATCCCCGGTCTTGCCTAAGCATTCAATTCAACCTAAATCCATTTCTGCACAAAAAATTGCCTCCAATGACAAGTCTGCAAATTCAAAAAAAAAAACATACGAGGACAAATTTGTATTGTGTAACAAGTCGTTCTGATGTTGGCCTCGTCGAGTCACCGACTCGATTTGGTAATACGGCCATGCACCAAAATATATATCGATAAAATTTAATGCCCAAATCTGCCACATCTAACTCACAGGTTGCCAGAAAACACTAACAGTTTCAATCTTTTGTTAGATGCACATTAACACTTCAGGAGCACAGTACTGGCATCCAATTTAAAAGCCAGGTCCCTGACACACTTAGTAAATGCTTCTCAGAGCGGAAGATATCTGCCACTTCTGCCAGGCCCAGATATACTCCTGAACACTTCTTTTCCCAATTCCACTGCAAAAAATCTGTTCTCACAAGATACTGACGCCGATCAAACAGAAGACGAAGCTAAGCTTGTCTCATGACTTTGTGCTTTTTCCTAAATAAAAAACAAAAACCCCTTGCGGCTTTCCGGAACCCTGAGCCTTTAAATTAACTTCCCAAAATCAACAATCTGGAAAAGCTTTGAGAGATGTGGACCATTCGTAGGGCCAAAACCTTCAATCAATGACACCGCTTCCCTTGTGATTGGGAACCATTTTTTCCCCTTCAGTTACATGTCCTTTCCCCACAGATCCCTTGAATACAATCTTTGAAACCGTTCACGTTCTTAAATCAGACCTAGGCAATTCCAAGGTTTTTCACTCGATAAATGCTGTTAGTTGGGTGTAATCGTCCAGTGTCTCCTTGGTGACAGTACAGCTGTCACCGTGCCATGCACCATGTCTTGCGACACAACACACCACATTAATATGCCTTAACTGTGCCAACACAAAACAAGCGCCTGGGCCTCTACTTGAGAGTCGCAGTGTGGGCCTTCTTCAGTCAGGGTGCGACGCGCCACCTACCGTGCTAACGTGGCAATCAGGCTGGCGCAGATCTCAAAGAACTCCATGGTGTCGTGGTTCATGATGGTGGGGGTGCTGGGCATGCCAGGCGACTTGGGGGTGTCCGGGGTGGAGGAAGGGCGTGGTGTTGCCTTGGGGGAGGAGGGCTTGGTGTCGTCCGTCTCCATCTTCTCATCTGAGGGGAGAAAAAGAGTTATGAGGTCAGGCCGACTTCAAGAGGAGCTGGCTGATTGGTTACTTGAAAACTTTTTACATCTCTAGTTTGGGGTGGCACCACTTGACATGCTAGCATCCGGGGAAGGGCTCTCAAAACGTGATATCTTTCTTCCTACCTACTGAACCATATTGCCCAAAACTGTTCCTGGCGTTGCTCAGACTCTTGAAGTCCAAGAGATAGCTCTTGTTGTCCACTTGGTAGAGCTGGAGACTCATCTTAAACACACTGCCAGTGACCATGTTACGCCGTCGGACGTAGACGTGGTAGGGGTTGACCACTTTCCAATCCTGGAGGGGAGAGGAAGGGCGTAAATTGGCAACAACGGAGAGGGTTCAGGTGACGGGGTGGGAACAAGGACGGCAGACAGGCATAGCGAGACATGCACCCAGACTGAGCATCCAGGTAAAGCAAGAAAATGCACCACAGATTGCCTCACGGTGGCTCTTCCAAGGAGACAAAAACCGATGGAGGGGGGTGCGCCAGCAGATGAATATCTTGTCACCCAGACTTCTGCGTTAACCCTCCTTTGGTTTTACAGCACAAATGCGCACAAATGCCCACA